GTACCCGCCTGGATGAACACAAAAATGCAGTCAAAAAGCTGGAACACACTTCCTCACTAGTCCAACACATGGAAGCTACAGGTCATAGCATCAACTTCAATGGCACCAAAACCCTGGCCACTATGGAAAACCCTAGCCACAGAGTCATCAGAGAAGCCATAGAGATTGAAAAAAGACCAGAAAGCATGAACAGAAGAGATGATTCCACCAGGCTGTCAATCATTTGGAAGCCTGCACTCACAAACAAAAAAATCTCCACACCACAAGCCAGGCAAACACCTGGGCACAAACAGATCCCCCCTGATACCTCCAGCTCAAACACACCCCAACCAGGCACCCAGATGAAACCCAGCTTCCTAACTAATGATAGCCGTCCATTTACCCGAAGCCAAGCTGCACTAAAGGCCTCCATTAAAGTAACACAATGCTGCCAGCCAATCAAGATACAAAAAGAGCCAAAAAACAGACAGAAGATATCAGAAACACCCATCAAGCAGAACACAGCAAACTCCGAGACCAATAAACACAGACCAAGACTCCCAACCAATCAGGATGAAGAAAAAACCATTCTGGCACAGCAATAAGCTGCCCCAAATTTAAATCTGAAACCACTGTAAAAGTCTGACCCACAGACGGACACAATACAGAAGCCTGATGATGGCAGATGAGATTCTGCTGAAACGTTGCTACAACTTTAAAAGAACTACAATGACGTGGGAAAATACCCGAACCAAGCCGAACACCATACATGTAAGTACCCGCGAAAACTTAAGAAAACAAATATATATATATATATATACATACACATACATATACATATACATATATATATACACACACATACATATACACACACACACACACACACACATACATACATACATACATACATACATACATACATACATATTTGCTTTCTTAAGTTTTTGCGGGTACTTACATGTATGGTATTCAGCTTTGTTTGGGTATATATATGTTTTCTTAAGTTTTTGCGGGTATTTATATGCATGGTATTCAGCTTTGTTCGGGAATTTTCCCACGTCATTATAGTTGTGCTTTCAAAGTTGTAGCAACATTTCAGCAGAATCTCATCTGCCATCATTTTCTCTTTTCCTGCTCTTTTAATGATGGCAGATGAGATTCTGCCAAAACGTTGCTACAACTTTAAAAGCACAACTATAATGACGTGGGAAAATACCCGAACAAAGCTGAATACCATACATGTAAGTACCCACGAAAACTTTAGATAGATAGATAGATAGATAGATAGATAGATAGATAGATAGATAGATAGATAGATAGATAGACTTTTAAACTTGTTTTGCCTTTTAAACTTCTTTAAAAATAACATTTTCACTTCAGTCTTTGCGCTAGTGTTATTTTATATATGGGTGTGTGTGTTCTTTTCTCTTCATTTTTGCTTTTATTGTTGTTTTACTTAATTAAGGAAAGTTTGTGTTTTATGTTTGGATAATATGTGTCACTGTTAGAAAAAAGAAAATACCTTACAAAGTGTATTTCTTTTTTAATTCCACTGTCTGATGAACATCAGTAAGATTCAATCTTTTGCCAGAGCAGGGCACCACACCAAATTAGGAAAACCATCCCCCAAACTTAATGATAGATTTTGAGCATGCATTCATCTCATTTAAATGATATATCAAAAGTCCTAAAAGGACCTATATGACCAGTCTGTTCTACTTAAGAATGTTTTTCTAAGCAGACAAGCCCCTTTATATAAACAGCAAGACCTGTTTATATAGACCTGGAGACTAAAACATATGAAGGAACTGGGCTTGGCTAGTCTAGAGAAGAGAAGGACCAGGGAAGACATGATAGCTGTGTTCCAATATTTGAGGGGCTGCCACAGAGAGGAAGGGGTCAAGCTATTTTCTAAAGCATCTGTAGGACAGACAAGGAACAATGGAGATTTAACCTGGAAATAAGGAGAAACTTTCTGACAGAACAATCAACCAATGGAACAGCTTGCCCTCGGAAGTTGTGGGAGAGCCATCACTTGAGACTTTCAAGAAGAGTTTGGACTGTCATTTGTCAGAAATGGTGTAGGGTCTCCTGCTTGGGCAGGGAGTTGGACTAGATGACCTACAAGGTCCCTTCCAACTCTGTTTGTCTGTTATCTGTTATTTATCTGTTATCTTACACCACATAACTATTTCCAGATGCCAAGAATCATTAACTTTAGGATGCATCAATGTTCTTCCCATAGCCAATACAAAAAAGTTCCCTAAGAGTTGAGACTATACACTTGTGGACAAGGGGCTGATAAAATTACAGAATAGCTCATCTCCTGCTATACTGTATTCTCTGGTCAAACACCTAGGAATTTCTGATCTTTCCTATGTAGATCTGTTGTTATCATACCAATATGATTAAATCTCTTTGAAGGTAGATAAATTTTCTTATATTGCCTGTAAAATTAGGCAAACATTTACTAGCCATTGACAAATCCACCACCAATTATAATATTTTGTTTTGTATTTAATTTATTATTAAAGTTTCTTTACAATTCTGTCAGTAACCATAATAAAAACATTCATTCATTCATTCATTCCGTCCCCCAATCTTTTGACCCAATTATACACACTAAAAAAATCACATCCATAAAGAATACAAACCTGAGTACAAAATTAAACTTAAAGTGATCACAAGGATCAACAGTAGAAAAACAGACGTTATAACCATCCAGAGTTTGCATTTCCAAAAAATAATTGAAGAACATGATTTTAAGCTGCTTGTCTCCTAAAGACACAAGGAATTAAAAAATGAAAAGCAAGTTTATATTCTTAAATATAAAATATTTAAACCGACACATTCAATAATCTTGATGTAACAAAGGAAGGTGTGTTTTCACTACACCATTGTTCCACATGTCTGCACACATCTTTGCGGACTGATATGAACTCTAAGGTTTTAAACTGTGAGGTGGGTTAGGCTGAGAAAGAGTAACTGGCCCAAAGTCATTCAGCTTTCAAGCCTAAGGCGGGACTAGAAGTCCTCCTGCTTTGTAGGCTGGCACCTGATTTTGAACCAGGATCACATATTGTGGCTTGACCCAGCTAAGGGCTGAAATAGAAGTCTTGACTCTTGTCTTGCAGTTTTCTGGTAACTTTGGACCAGTTGCCCATTCTCAGCCTGCCTACCTTATAGGGTTAGTTTTATAAGATAAAACAAGGGGAAAACTGTCTGTGAAGCTATCTTGAACCTCAGATAAAAAGGGGCATAGACGTTGGATATGTTCATATCATCTTTCTAAACCTATAAGTTAAATAATTACTATTATGACAGATGTGGGAAAGAACCAGAATAGTTGCTTGCCTTCTGGCTTACTGGAAGATGAGAGAATCTCCTAGACAGGACCACACAGTCCAACAAAGTTAAAATGCTAGAGCTCAGAAAAGTGCCCCTTTTCTTTGTTAACAAAGAGGTGCACTATTCTACTAGCGAAATAAATGCACACCTTCTGACTACAAATGAAGGAGACGCCAAACATAAACAGCCACGGTGAGAGTGTAAATAGCTGCACCGATACTGCACATAGACAGAGTTGACTCATTCACACCCTGTTTTTCCCCCAGTAGATTTCATAACTTCCCCCCCCCCCCACCCCCAATTGCATTAGAATTACTGTAAAGTTTCCAGGTTTAACAACTTCGAGTAAATTCCTTCTTGCGCTAAAACGGGACGCTGATCAAGTAATTCCTGTTTTCATATGTTGGGAACAAAACAAGCCTCTCTCAAAATAGAAAAAAGGCATGTAGTGGCTTACCGCGGCGGTGGCGCGAGAGGCTTCTTCCTGAAGAAGCTCGCTTCCTTCTCCTCTTTCCTCGTCTTTTCGGCTTAACTCAATGCCCAGCTGATTTTGCGCGGGAACTTGACCGTTTTCTGCGTCCATGGCTGACTAGTTTTTCCAGATCAAAGGCAATGGGAACAGGGAAATAACGGAGTTCCTTTACATGCCCATATTCGATTGCGCTGATAGAGAAAGTGGAAGGAAACAAAAGCAAAAAATAGCGTTGGGCTCCAATGTTGCCATGAATAAGGATGATTTTTGTAGTAAAACAAATAAAACGATGCAATGTCTGATAAACGTTTTCCAAGATGCCGGTAACAAAAAAAATTAATAAGGGAAGAAGGAAGCTCTAACTGTTTTTATCGAGTCCAAAAAGCAACCTTTCGTTCCAAAGTTGCACAAGACTGAATTTTCCGGTTTGACCGCCTTCTATACAGCAGGTACTTTAATCCAAACAACTCAGTCTTCAGTGGAATGACAAACGAAAAGGTTATGCCTTTGCTAGACTAAAACAAAAGCACTGAAAAGGAATAATTTTAATATTAGAAATAAAAACTTAGAAGCAAGGATCTATAGACTGCAGCTTAAAAGTAGACAAACTCAAGTCCAAAGTTTTTTTTCCCCAAAAGTCAACTGGAGTTTCCTGATTTTTTCCCTTGAAAATGTTTGGCTTCTCATCAAAAAAGAGTTTACTCAGTCCTGACTGAATGGTAAGGAATGGAAAAAAATTATATTCTTTGCAGTCACCTGGTCATTAGCATTCGTAGTTGGCTCTCCTATTCCCCACCATTCAGTCAGAACAAACTCAGCAATTTAATGGGTTCTTTTTCCCCGAACGAGGATATGAAATTCTACACCAACTTTTATTAACTGATTTCCATTTATGCATTTATGTGACACAGTTTCTTAAACTCAATGGTGCTTGCTTGGAAAGCCATGCATGAGTTTGGCTAAAATCCTATGGACAAATTACTTGGATGAAAGTTCTCTTAAATTCTTTGGATTTACAATCAATCAGAACAAAATTATGGGTTTCATGGAAAGATCTAGTTGTTACAAACATCAGTGGCAAAATTTGGAAAAAATAAAATTGAATAATACCATCTATTAAATATGTTGGCTTAATTTTACAAGGCTCCAGAGTTCCATGGGAACAAATTAGAACCATTTCTGTCAAAGCTAATAGTGCTAGGCAATTAAAAAAAATCTAAATTGAGGAAATGAATAGCTACCGCCGCAAAGACTTTTAAAGCTAAAACTTTATCCCAAATAATGTACTCTGTGTAGACTTGGGCCTATTTGATTCAAACTTCTTGGACATTTAAGTTTTATAACCATTCTTCCTCATTTCAAGTCGTATTTTGATTGCTTTAATCTGCATGGAAACAGGTATGATTCACTGGAAATGTGATTCTGTATTTGCTATGCCTCCTTTTACCTTCAGTTTTTGTTTTCCCCTGGTTCATTAGCCCTATCATTTCTCTTTGATGGCTTTTCATTAAGCTGTAAAGAAAAATATCTCAGCAGACCTGTGTTATTGCAGCCTTTCTATCATCTTTCTGTTGTCTCTAGGTTCATAGGTTTATAGAGAGAAAAATATAAAATTTGTCAAATCTGTGGTCTACTTTCCCGTCTGAGTTCCAGCTTGGAAACCATTATACTCAAGGCAGTTATTCAACCTTACTTGTTCAGCATATTGTACAGCCTTATCAGCAGTACTTAAATAGGAGATGCAGTAGGACAAATTCCCTGACAGGTGTTGTCTTTATGGTCAGAATATTTAAGATCTTTGAGTATATTTTTCCATTTTTTTAAATTAAATTTAAATACCAACCATCTTATTACACAAAGGGACTATATTTTCCTATTGCCTTTTCTATGTCAATTTACATGCAAGCATACTGTTACTGCTTCATAACAATAAATACATTTATAATTAAGGAGATGTTGTTCTCACAAATTGAAACCTTCCCATTTGTAGCAGAATTGCTCAGTTTCTACCATCAGCAATTTACACAAAAAGAGATAAAAGATCCTAATCTTGGATTGACAACATTATGAAATATTGTATTTCTTTTCTTTCTTTCCTTTCATGAAGCAAATTGAAAACTGTCAAGACCAAGCTATTATTTCCAGGTTGGGGGTTGGGATATTAATTGATATAAGTGGGTTAGTCTCTCTCTCTCTCTCTCACTCTCTCTCTCTCTCTCTCTCTCTCTCTCTCTCTTATTGATTGAATGGTTTTTTAAGTCAGGGCAAGTCCAACCACTAAGGAAATACTGTTCCCTAATAAAGAGAGGAGGGAGAGAGGGGAGAGAGAGGGAGGGAGGGAGGGAGGGAGGGGCAGAGAGAGAGAGAGGAATGCTGATTGTGGTTTTCAAAAGGTGGCCCTCTAAACATTTTGGCACCTAATCAACCAAACATTTCAGATTATATTCAGAAACAGACAAGTATATGGCGTGCAGCACAGTTGTTATCTGTTCCTGGCATGTTATGCCAGTTGGCATGCAGGCAACTGCATTTTATCCCAACTGTAAGTTCTGGGATGCCTTTGAAGATAGCACATTTCAGCAGTCTAACCAACTAAACATGAGTCCATGAGAGTTACTTTCGCAAAATATTCCTGCAAATAGAACTGCAGCTCTTGATACATACATATATGGAAATGTAGTTGGAAGTTTAATTAAGACAAAAGTATGAATTAATAGCATCTGAATTTCTCTGGGTCTGTATGAAACTAAGAATTCATTAAATTGTGTTAGTTGCATTTAACAGCTAAGAAGATGATAATAATAAAAGAACAAAGCTTTGCAGTAGTTAACAGAACAATTCTAACATTATGGTAAGTCTTACTTGATGTATGATATAAATAAATAGACTCTCAATCTAGCCACTGGTTCATTATTCCTTTTATTATTTTAATATAATTTTGCTAATATAGCTTATATTAGCAAAATATATAATGTATTATATTATATATTAAAATAACAATTGCTACACATGCCTGCCTGTCTGCCTGCCTAAAATTAAAATGCTAAGGCTATACAGATGATTCAGAGGAACTGTCTTGGAATTCTTATCAACATATTACTTTTCTGTGATTCATTAACAAACCAACTTGTTTCTGACATTTTGTAGACCTGAAAAATGGTTTTGGGATTTATATCCTGTCTATTTGTGATTATAGCACTCAAAGCAATTTATTTACGAATTCCTAAGTAGTGTCATCTGTAATCAGACTTCCTGAGTTTCTGCATATATGTGGTTATATGCCTGACATATAGTCCCTCAGCCTCACCCCTCCCAAAACAGGAAAGACATGTGGTGATTTTTCTAAGTAGATGTTTATTGTTCTACACTTATAGACAGAATCTTGTTATAGTAAACCACTGTTCTATCTACACAAGTCTATACTCAAAAAGAACTTTCAGGAAAGTACCTCTTTCTCATACATACTATCTGAACTGGGCTGTCTCTTACTCCTCTGAATGCACTCTCTTCCTCCTGAAAATCAGTATAATTCACCAGTGTCACACATTCTTCTGTTTATTGGTCATTGACATATGATACTTATCAGAACCGCAGCCATATCATATGAACTGCCTCAGAAAAAAAAAGTGAGTTGATTCACTCATCAGAATCGTCTTTAACAATGTTTTTATATATAAAAAATATAAGGAACAATTCATGTATACAGGTAGTCCTCAACTTATAACCATAAACAGGACTGTAATTTCAGTCACTAAATGATGCAGTAATTAAATGAATATTCACATAACCAGACCCAATTTTCTTACTATTTTTAGTGCAGTTGCTAGCAAATCACATGATTGTTACATGAATCCGACTTCTTCAATTGTCTTTTCTTGTTGATGCAAAGGTTACAAATTGTGATCACATGACTACAACATGCTGCGACTGATGTAAATACATACATCAGGTGTATGTCAAGTGCCCAAATTGTGATCACATGACTGCAGGTGGTGTGATTGTCATAACTTTGATGATGGATCATAAGTCACTTTTTCTAGGCCATCGTAACTTTGAACTGTCATTAAATTAATCAAGGACTACCTGTAGGTTCATGGGTATGCGCTTGAGCTATTACTCCAATTTTGGGGATTTCTGTCCAATTCATTATTTTGTTACAGTTAACATTCACATATTAACAACATGCAATGCGGAATAGAGGAGAAATAGCAAGAAAAATCTACCAGGGAATTAAAGAAAACAAGGTTCAAGCCAACTAAATCTAAAAGGAACTCTGGCTGAATGCTGAGATGTCAGCAGTATCCAACATCTGTGCCAAAGAAATTGATCTTTGTTTATAGCATAATTGCAAAGTTCCATATACATCTGAAAAATTGACTACTGATATGCATCTTAGGAGAAAATAGCAAAAACAAAATGAAAATAGATTAAAATAAGACGACGAATCAAATCAAGACATATTAAACAAAATCTTACTCCCCTTTTCCATACTTGCTGATAGAATACCATGAACACCCATATAGTGAAAATCACTCATGCTTAATTTAATAATTATTTAGTGCAAAAAGGTTAAAAAAAATTTTAAAAATTAAACAAAAACTTCCAAATTGCTTTTTAAAATTGTTTTATACAGTTTGTTTTGTACATAGTAATTGAAGGACGTATGAATGCTTTGAGCTTTCTTTTAAGTCATGTGTTAGTTTATGTATTGACGGATCCATTCATAAAATGATGTGACTTTAGTATAAACTCCAGGGCGGTTCCTTCGAGCACATCCTTCACCCCAGCTGACAATGCCTGTAAGGTACCATCTGTTTCCTTTTCCTAAACAGGCTAATGGTCCTCCAGAATCACCCTAAAAGGAAAAGTGGAAGTCTTGCTATTAGAAAAAAAAATAGTTTCATTACATTCTAAAAATAATGGCATTTAATTTTGTATTACTAACAGAATGGGAAATTCTACTGAAGATTACCTCACACAACTTCCCAAACAATGAAAGATATCCTATGGCATTCTTACAGATAAGTCTAGCACAGAATAGCCTGTTCAACAGGCAGTTTATTATAGTAAAGTGCTGTCAGCATTACAAATTTGCTATGTTTCTAAAGTTTGGCCTAAAATTCCTTTTATTTTCTATTTTCATCTATTAGCTCTGGATGAAAAGAAAAACCACTACTGGCTTTTGAAACAACAGAAAGTAACAAACAAACAAACAAACAAACAAATATATAAATAAATAAATAAAGTTCATTTTTGGGTACAATTGCTTTTCAGATCTTTGAAGACCATCTCTTTTCACCTTTTCATCTCTCAGTCAAAATTAATAAACACAGATCTTACAGCCATTTCTCATCTAATTTGGTTTCTAGTTTTTCATAATCTTTGCTGTTTTCCACATGCAGTCCAATTTCTCACTGATGATCTCAAAAAGTGCTCAGAATTGACCCAATATTTCAAATATAATCTGTCTGGAACACAAGAAAACTATTGATCCTGATGACTTACTCTACTCTTTTTCACACAAACTGAAATTGCAAAAGCTATCTTTCTAATGTATAATATTTCATTTATTTCTATAAATAATGATCAACATCTTATATTTAGATGGCAACTGTATGCATTTTTCCTAATTTTTTGAAATTAGGAAACCATTATTTTGTATATTTATTAGCATAATATTACTGAACTTATTCATCACATTTTAACTTCTACGAATACTCTTTTGGACAAATATTACTAATAGACAAGTCACAGGACTTATGTTGTCTTCCTCTCCTTACAAAACAGATATATGAAAAGTATTCTTTGATCATTTCATTTAAAAAGCAGTCATATAAATCATGTTTTCTTTTTACAGTTTTGTTGTTTGCTTTACCTGACATGCATCAATACCACCATTTAAGTTCCCAGCACATAGCATTTGAGATGTAATTAGATAATCATAAAGTTTGTTGCAAACACTTTGGTTAATGATTTTCACTTTGGCTTCCTGTAGTGTTTTTGTAAGCTGACCTAAATTGATAGAAACATTGTGTAAGTATAACATTTGCAATGCCATCCTCACATTTGCAAGTGATAGCTAGTATAAATTTACCAGAGAGTAAACCCATCTGTTGAAAGAGAGTAGAAGCATCCAAGGTATGCCCAATGTTTCAACAATGGTGAAACCCAAAATGGACCATTCCAAAAGGTAAGGAACATCAAGCATTTTTGATGTTCCTCTAAAACATCAAAAGCTAGAATTGCCACTTGAAAGTTAGATTGCCACTTGTACCAATTGTTTTTAAAAAGGGAGATGGAAATTGATCACTGATACTGGTTATTGTGATTCAGAATATATTTGAAAGTGGTTGATGGTCTTTCTTCACTCCCCTGGAATGATATTACAGTTTGTTTAATTAAAGCATATTTTGTAACATAAATTGCAATGAAAGCTGTCAAGGTCTGGCCTATATCTTTGAAATTTTACTAGCTCATATGTTACATCTCTTTATAGTAATTTACATAGCTATTGGCACATTAAATAAATGAAATATAAATAAAATTGTACATTTCTTCAAATTGAAAGATATGACTTCCAACTGGTATAAGTAATGTAATGCTAAGAACTTTATGAAATTAAACATCTCCATCAACTAAAAATATGTTTTCAGAATTGCAACAGATTTTCCTTAATCCTATTAAGTTTAATTAGATCCATAACATTATAGCTGAAATTGATTTCCACAGTAGTTGACAGTTATGATTCACAAAAATGTACAACAGATTAGGGTATTTGCAATTTGAAATGAACATACTATTTTCTTTTACAGCTCCCCAGCCAGTTACATAGCAGACAGTTCCATAAATAAATACTCTAGGACTGCTCAGTAAACATATGGGCTGTACCAGCTCAGTGAAAAATACTGGTGCCTCCATTTCCAAGAGCGCAATGTCATAATCTGAGATGTATTGGTCATAATTTGGATGTACTATTATCCTTTTGATTGATCTCATCATTGCTTGATTATTGCTGTATTTGTTTATGCTTTTTATACCCATGTATGCTGTCCAGCTGGATGCTATGGAGTATCTGAAAAACAAAGATTGCAATTCTCCTAGTAAATGTTGTCATCAGGGGATTTAGGAAACATGCCTTTGTTTTGCAGCAAGCCCTGCCCTGTGGAACAACTTTCTCCTGGGATCTACCAGGCCTTCACACTTTTAGCCTTTCATGAAGATAGATAGATAGATAGATAGATAGATAGATAGATAGATAGATAGA